TCAAGCTCCATTAAGTTAATTTTGTTCAAATTTAGTGAAATATTGGATCTGCTATCATTTCATAAAATCTAAAACAGATCATATTAGTTTGATTTTAGATTTAATGTTAATCCGAACCAGATAAAATCATACATACCCTTCCTTGTTTGAAATTGAGAGCAGTGAAATAAACAATTTAAATGCACAAAAGGTTCTAAACATAGAATATGTAAATATTTTTAATAAAAAATTAGTGAAACATCCTTATTCAACTTTGTGTAATAGAAGATGTTTAAGATATTTTTTTATTAGTTAAGGTCCCTCAACATTTTTACAGAGAAAATTCAACTAAGATAAATTTTGACTGACTCAGAGAAATTTCTCCCTTACTCAGAGAAATTTCGAAATTTCTCCCTTACTCAGAGAAATTTCGAAATTTTTCTGAGTCAGGGCTAAAATTTCTCTGAGTCGGACATAATTTATCTGAGTCGAATTTTCTCTGTAGAAATGTTGAGGGATTTTAAGTACTATGAAAATATTGTATGTTCTTTATTTTATAAAATTTTAATATCAAAGATCTTAAAAAAAAAATCTTTATTTTTTTTATCCTTCTATGTGCATGGCAAAGCTAAGCAGTAAAAAAAATCCAATAATAATTAAAACAACACTGATTGATAGTTCGAATCTGAGTTTGTCCGAAATCGCTTGAATTTTGGCTTGTCGGTCGTCCGACTAGTCATTCGGCGAGAAGGTGATAGTCACGGTTAATACGGATGACAACCGCAATAGACAAGTGTTGCACCGATTGTCTGGGTAGTGGTCAGGGGAGTCGACTACCAATCACAAATTCAAACTTTTGGACAAACTCAAATTTGAACTGCCAATTATTTTTCTAATTAAAATGTATTTTCTTGGGGCTGGCTTCCCTCCAATCAGTGATTGGATTGAAGGGTACTGTTGGACCCGTGGAGATCCATTATGGGTCCGTTTCGATAATCTGAATCGTTTAACGTGTAGAATTCATCGAGTAATATATACTTGTAAAAAATCACATTTATAAGATATCGATAGCTACGTAATCAAAACAGTTTTATATAAAAAAAATAGATAGTGAAAAAATAAATAAATCTGATCCGATTAGATAGCTATCGATGTCTTATCAACGTGATTTTTGATTTTTTACAAGCATATAGTGCCTGTTAGGTCTAGATTATTTTGAGGAGATTATAGCTTTTGACTTTTTGAAAACTATTATAGACTGTTTGGTTGACCTTAAAGGGTTCAACTTCAGCTTCCATAGCTTTTTTTGAAAGGCAAATTCTTTGGAAAATCATAAGCAGCTGGGAGCTACTTCTGCAAGTGGATTATACGGAGGGGGTAATGAAATTACTTAAATATCCTTAGTATTTGAAGGTATTTACTCTTATACCACAATATATATGTGTATATATATATATATTAACCTTATTATTCTCGTTACTGTTCACTGATACTCATAGAGAGAGAGGGGCGATTTCCGACGAGTGATCGGCGATTTCCGGTGAGGCTCTCATCTCTCCGTTGTGATCAAGAAACCCTCTCATTTCTCTGTTCATCACCTTCCTCCCATCTCCCATCGCGATTGATAGTGAACAAAAGCTCATTTTTCCGGTGAACCAGGGTGCTCTCTCTCTATTCGGCATTGTGCCGTGTCTACGATTTCCGACTAGGATCTCGAGTTGTTATCTCTCTATCTCTCTTTCTTTCTTTTATGAAGCAGAGAGGCAAAGCCCTAGCATCGCGATCGACCTTCCGTGCTCTCGCCAGCTTTGCAAGATAGGCTGACGGTCCAGAGCGATCCTCACCACTGCATCTGCGATCTCAAACCAAAGCGATCCTCATCCCACCCTCATCTCCTGATCTGCGAGATACCCTGTGGTTTACCGCTGTTGCGACCACGATCTGCGAGATGTGAAACCCTAGCCACCGACGACGGTAGCTAGGGTTTGTTAAAAAATAATAATAATAAATTAATAAAATTGGTATATTTTGTAATGAACTAATAAATTAAAAAATAACAATTTTTATATTATTTCTTGGTATTCTAATAAAAAAATTAATAAAAAAAATCACATTTTTTAAAAAAAATTAATGAATTAATGAAAAATTAACTGATATTAAGTTAATTATGAATCACAATTTTAATTTAATTAATGAAAAATTAATTGATGAAAAAATAATTTAAGTTTTTTTTTTATATTCCTTTACCAGCCCAATCATAATAATTTGTACCCACCCCCCATCATTCCGACTCTTTTTTTGTTTCTTGGGCAAATTACACAAATAGTCCCTATAGTTTGGGACTTGTGTCACTTTGGTCTCTAACTTTTCAATTGTGACGCATTTGACCATGAATTTTGAATTTTGTTCCAAATAAGGACAATTGAATATATTATTAGATTTTTCAAGGGTAAAATCGTCAATTTGATAAAATATAAACTAATTTGACAAAAATAAATGTCAAACAAATATTTTTAAATTTTTAAAAATTATTTCTACCCACTAAAAATAACATTATGTAAATTTGATAAATTTTTTAGATATTTATTTATTTTTTTACCAAATTAATTTTTATTATGTGTTTGGATGATAATCATATAAAATTAATTTTTAAAAATTAATCATGTAATTTTTATTAATTTTTATCAATCTTACATAATTTTATCATTGGTGAATAAAAATAATTTTAAAAAAATTAAAAATATTTTTTTGATATTTATTTTTGTCAAATTAGTTTATATTTTTATTAAATTGACGATTTTGCCCTTGAAATTAAACGATGGTATCTTCAATTGTCCTTATTTGGAACAAGATTCAAAATTCATGGTCAAATGTGTCACAATTGAAAAGTCAAGGACCAAAGTGATATGAGTCCCAAACTATAGGGACTGTTAGTGTAATTTGCCCTTTATAATTTGTTAAATTATAATTTATAATCACTTTTCTATAATTACACCGAATAGGGCCATAGTACTCGATGAATTATATATATTAAACCGTTTAAATTATCAAAATGAGACCTGTAACAAGCCTCTTCGGATCTAAGAATACCTTCCAACCAATCATACACCGAATAGGGCCATCTCATTTTTGCTTCATATATCAAGTCATGACTCACACTTCTTGTTTGAACCTCAATATACTAGGAAAATGCCTGGTAGCTCGAAGCTACCAGGCTCGAAATGGCTCGAGAGGGAGAGGGAGAGGGAGAGAAGGAGAGGGAGAGGAGAAAGAGAAGGGAGGGAGAGGAAGAAGGTCGGCGTCGTCGCAGCCCCCCGCCGTCGTCGCAGCTCCGGCCGCCGCTGCTGCTTCCTCCTCCGTCGCAGCCCCGCCTCCGTCGCAGCCCAGCCTCCCCTCCTCCTCAAACCGGTTTTTATGGCCCCCTCCCCTCCCTCCTCCTCCTCCTCCTCCTCCTCCTCCTCCTTCTTCTTCTTCTTCTTCGTTCTGCAAAACCAGGAAAAAAAAAAAAAAACAAAACAAAACAAAATCGACACCAAAAAGACGTCGTTTTGGTGTCGAGCCGCGGTTCGAGCCGCGGCATTCGAGCTACGTAGCACGATCGCAATATACTATCCATAAGCAATTATGGCCTAATTTGGCAGACTTGTTTAGGCTTTATATAACATATAAGGGTTGTTTGGGATGTCCTAAATAAGTGTACTTTTTAATTTTTTAGACTAAAAAATTGAGGAAAAAATATGATTGTTTAGGTTAACATTTTGACTTTTTATGGAAAAATGTGTATTAAAAATTGTATAAATTAGTGTGTATGGAAAAATTAAGATTGGGAGTTGTGCAGCCGTACTTTTTGACTTTTGGTGAATAGTGATAACTTTTTAACTTTTTGAGTAACTTTTTGACTTTTTGACTTTTTGGGCATATGCCAAACTTGGCCATACTCAAAACTTAAAAAGTTAAAAAAGTCACTATCTTATTTAAATCACATCATTTTATTTAAATTATATCATTTTTCTACCACATCACTTCAAACTCAATTCATACCCAGCCTATATTTCATAAAAAGTTAAAAAGTGCACTTATGTAAAGGTTGTTTAGTCAAAAAGTCACTTCAAACAACCCATAAACTAAGGCCAAGTTTGAGGTCTCGTTTGAGAACAGATTAATTTAGTAATTTTTTGGTTATTTGGCTAAAAAGGTAGGTAAAAAAAATTTGTATGTTTGGGATGACTTTTTGGCTAATTACGAAAAGATGTGCAAAAAGTAGAGAGAAAAGAGAATCTTTGACTTTTTGGTATGAATTGTTAGTTTTTTGACTAATTTAATAACTTTTTGACTAATTGACTAAAAAAGTAAGTCTCCAAACGGGGCCTGAGAAGTGCAAAAAAAGTCAAAAAATCAAAAAGTTACTCAAAAAGTTAAAAAGTTATCACTATTCATCAAAAGTCAAATATTACAGCTACACAACTCTCAATCCTAATTTTTCATTATATACTAATTTATACAATTTTTTAATACATATTTTTCTATAAAAAGTCAAAAAGTTAACCCAAACAACTTAATTTTTTAGTCTAAAAAGACAAAAAGTACACTTATTTAGGACATCCCAAACAACTCCTAAATAAGTATACTTTTTGACTTTTTATGAAATATAGGTTAGGTATGAGTTGGGTTTGAAGTAACGTGATAGAGAGGTGATATGACTTAAATAAGATGATGTGACTTAAATAAGATAGTGACTTTTTAACTTTTAAATTTTTTTTTTTTGTTATGACAAACCAAGCCTAAGAAAAATCGTTGTTATTCGGACTTTTGTCAAAATTTAATCAATTATTATTATTTTTTAATTTTAATTTTCAGGTTTCTTGGGAACCTTAACAAAAATATAAAAATAAAAAGTCAAATTAAAAAAAAAATAATAATAGCAAAACCCACAAAAAACAAAACCGATTGTTCTCGGATTAAAATGGACGGAACCAAACGAGGCCTTAACAACTACTACATCTCTTGCTTGACAGCTCCATGATGAACCGGGTTACCTAGAATCACCGGTTTTGGCATCGTAATTAGGAACAAACTTCTCTCTCTCTCTCTCTGTTCTCTCTCTAATCTCCATTTTTGCTACTTGGAATCTCTCCTAAAAAAAACCCTTTTTTCTAAGATTTCTCTTTCAATCGCCTTCTTTTTTGGGTGTCACAACTAGAGAAAGGCAAAAGGATAGCAATCATCATCGTCGTCGTCGCCTGTGAGAATTTTCATCTATTTTTGGGGTTACATTTAATTCGATCTTATCCGAGATTGTGATAAAATTGTTGGGTTCTTTAGTTTCTTTATATCAGATTTGTGAACTTTTTGTTTTTCTGCCGATTTATCTGATTAAGTTCCTGATTTAGGTCAAATGTTTAATATCTGATCTGGGTTATATTCTTTGGAATTGTTTAGGGTTTTATAGTTTTGTTTTCTTGTTAACAATTACTACATCACAATAACTAGCTGAGGGATTGGATCATTTTGGATAGTCTGACATGTGAATTAATTCAGTTTCGGTATTGCTGGAGATTTGTGAATTAATGGTTTCGGAAGATTGAAGTAAGAGTTGCTTGGTATTTATACTTTCCATAGACAGTTTGATATTTGAAGAATTGCATCCGGCAAGGCTTAGGGTTTTGGTGTAGATTTTGGCATATTTTATGATTTTTAGTTTGTCTCATTTGGGCCATTTGGGGTCGACTACTGATATCTGGAACTGGGTTTGTGGACAATATTCAAGTTTATGACTTTGAACAGTGATTTGGAATTACAGGAGTATTTGTATAGAAGTTGTTTGGGTTTAAAGATTCTTTTAGAGGCTCGGAGTTGTTATCTGTAGGAATATGGCTGCGGGTACTGATTTCTCGCGTCCATTTACCGTATTAGAAGGCAATTATAGTAAAGACAGTGTACCTGCCGGGGAAGATGAAATCTCAGAATATTCAGATCATTTGAAGCAAACGATAAAAGAAAAACCTCCACAGCATCTATCAGTTGATACGGTAGCTGCTACAGAAGCGGCTGCCACTAATTTGGTAAGTTAATCCTTTGAAGCAAAATTTGCATCATATTGCTACTTTGAGCTTGTATTTGTCTATTTGTATGTCTATCAATTGGGAATGCCATAAGAGAATTATGTTTTCAATTCAACTTATCAAGCATTCAGGTTTAAGTTAAACTCCTCACCCCAACCCCCAGTTCCTGCTTTAAGTTATGTTTGTTTGGCTTCTGATGATGAAAAGTGATTTTTTAAATTCATGACTGCCATCTGAACTCAGAATTGGGGATTCCAAATTATTTGTTTATCCTCTTCCCTTACTTTTTTACTTGAATATAATCTATATATTCTTTTGATACAATATTTAAAGCACTGCAACTTCATTTAACCTTTTGTTAGGATTTTGATTTCGGGGATGTTGGCATTGAGTCACTGTCAGATGGAAGATCAGTTTTTTGCCCCGTGTTTCGATCAGGAAGCTGCGCTGAGAAAGGACCCAAGGAGTACATGGAGGATGAACATATATGTGTAGATAATCTTCATGAATATTTAGGTGCAACTGCAGATTTCCCTTCCCCAGGAGCTTTCTATGGTGTACGTAACCAAAACACTACGTTTTTTAATTGAGTGTTGGTTCTTCTTTTAAATTTTATTACTATGTATTTCTTTTATAGGCAGGATTATATAGTGGATCCTTACTTGTCCACCCTCCCAGCACCCATTGGCTGTAGTAGGACTGGGTTATGTTCCTGCATGCATGCTGTTTAACCACTAAAACCTGTTGAAGGAACACTTCTTTCTTGAAAGATTGCCATTGCCCTAAATAGGATTTTTGTTACTGATTTTAGCATTTGATCATTGCTTTTCCTTTTCGGAGGGAGGGGAAGGGGACATTCGACGTGGCAGTTTGAATTAATAAATTTGTGTCACATGCATCAAAGAGGTGCACTAGTGAACTCAAGGTATTTATTTTGGACAATCTTTCACCAGTCGACATCATAAATTGTAACTATGGGGTGTTGATCATAACCATTTACACAAATCACAGGTAGGTTATTACTTTAGGTGGTACCGTTACTACTTCAGTTTCTTAAAAATTTAAGTACATCATCAATTCTCAGTTTCATGGTTAAGTGAAAAAAAGAGAAATGCTAGAGATCTGCAATTTAGAACCCACAATGACATGACGAGAGAGTTGGGCCTTACATGGTTGAGTTGAGTTTGTGATGGTTGACATGTATGATATATCATGCCATGTCATTGTGGATAAATTGCGGACAAATCTTTTTTTGTGAAAATTTTAGTGGGAAGGTGGCACCTTTGTTTCCGAGTGCTACTTCTGTTATGATTTTTACCGTCTGTGTTTTAGATGGGTCCCCCACTAAAAAGGTCATATCCAGTGCTCAAGGGTCTCGCTTGCAAGAGGGTTTAAGAGAGATAGTAGGTAGGCAGCCTTACCCTGTGACTCAAATCTGCACCACAATGCTGGGAGTGCATAGAACTTGTCATCACAGCAGTTCATGACCACTATATGGGACCCCCACTATAGAGCTTAAATTTGACTGCAGTAGTTTGGTGCTACTGCACCACAGAAAAGTTGTTTTAATATACTGAAAAGTCACCTGAGATACAATGATTTAATGGACTAAGTATTCAATCTTTTATTTATTTAGTTTATGTTTTATACAGTTTGATATTCATTATTTTATGTTGCCAGGTGTTTGATGGCCATGGAGGAACAGATGCAGCATCGTTTGTTAGAAAGAACATCCTTAAGTTCATAGTTGAGGATTCCCAATTTCCTGTCTGTGCAGAGAAAGCAATTAAAAATGCTTTTGTCAAGGCTGATCATGCATTTGCAGATGATAGTTCTCTTGACATCTCGTCTGGCACCACTGCTCTGACTGCTCTCATTTTTGGAAGGTATTGAGCTCTAGATTTGTTTTTAAATTTAAAGTTTTCAAGTTTTTCCTTTGGAAATATGACTTGGGTAATTGATTTCCATTTCTTTTTATGAGAACCATTCGGGGAATCATTTATTTTAAAGAATAGAACTATAGGGAAGGAGGGAAAATGGGGAAGCCAGGGTAGTTTCTAGGTACATGCGGCCCATATCCATATAAAGATATGAGACTATGAATGCTGGATTCCAGAAGATATGAATCCAGATACCTGATTTTAACATCAGGTGAATAGTAAAATTCTACTCCATTTGCATGCTGCTGCCGCTGTTGTGTGAGTGCACGCTTGTTTGTGAGATAGAATTTATGGAGTTCAGAAATGGAAGCTCATGAAGTTAAAATGGTTAAAAGTTCTCTTTTCACGATATTTCATCATGTAAAATTCCATATGATCATGGTAGAAACCAAACCAGTGTCCTGCTTTGACTATTTAGTTCCTGCATGGTGTAAAACATGAACATCACAGCATTATTAAAATAGTATCATGTCAAATAACATAGGCATCGCAGTGGCTACTCTTTAGCAATAGGGGTTATGTTTCGTTGTTTAGTTTTGCTTTCATTTAGGAATGAAAGGAAACACCTTTATGAGATGAACATAATCTATATCTCTCCTTTGTTTTGGTTGTGCCAACAACTCTTTCTGACTGACAGTAACTTGGCAGTTTACTGGCATATATTAATTGCCTGCTGTGTTGAAGTTTCTACATGGCTAGAGTGATTGCATGTGAGATGTCTTGGGACCATCATTGTTAGCGTTCTTCCCTGGGGGCTTAGGGGTTGGATTATTTTGACTTGGTTTTACTCTTTGCAGTACAATGCTAATTGCCAATGCTGGCGATTGCCGAGCTGTTCTGGGGAAACGAGGTAGAGCAATTGAGTTATCAAAAGATCACAAACCCAATTGCACATCTGAAAGTCTAAGAATAGAAAAACTTGGTGGAGTTGTATATGATGGCTACCTGAATGGCCAATTATCTGTGTCACGTGCACTGGGAGACTGGCACATGAAGGGCCCCAAAGGTTCAGCTTGCCCCTTAAGTGCAGAGCCAGAGTTACAGGAGACGCTATTGACTGAGGAAGATGAGTTTCTAATAATGGGCTGTGATGGCCTCTGGGATGTACTGAGCAGCCAAAGTGCAGTGACAATGGCAAGAAGAGAACTGATGATGCACAACGACCCCGAGAGATGCGCGAGGGAACTGGTTAGGGAAGCACTCAAGCGCCAAACCCATGATAATCTGACCGTTATTGTGGTTTGTTTCTCCCCAGATCCTCCCACTCGTATAGAGACACCTCGATGTCGAGCTAGGAATGTATCTGCTGAAGGGCTCAATTTTCTCAAGGGTGTATTAGACAGTAACTCATGAGAGAGCAGATTGTTGGGAGTTTGATATTTGAATTTCATTCTTGTACATTTAAGGTCAGTCGTGTTGTACCCTGTATCAGTTAGAAGATTTCATTATCTAATTTTCTAGCTAGGTAGACTTTTCCTCCCATCATCTCTCTTTCTTTATTTTATTGTACTTTTTTTTATTTTATTTTATTGTTTTATTGTTTTGTTTTGTATTTATGAGCCTAGTTATCAATAGTTATCAAGTAATTAAAATACAAAATTTAACTTTAACCGCACACTACTTTCCAAATATTTTGGATTAGAGAGGATCTCAACGCCCCCCAAGCGAGCATATTATGGGGGACTGTTAAGCACACCCGACAAGGATCAAAGGGGATCTCGTTCTCCATAAAAATGGAGGCTTCATTCAAAACGATACTACAAAGGTCTTGTCATGCATACTGGCAAGGAGTTGGCAAGCTCAACCAGAATAGGAATTACAGTTTTGAGTTTTTATGTTTCATTTAATTGGAATATAATTAATTAAAAAACATATGAATTATATTTCTGTCTCTCATAACAGATCAAAAGGCTTGATAATTTGGCTGCACACACTATACATAGTATGTTGAATCTTTGTCTTGAATTTTAAATATGAATAATTTTGCAATTTTTTAATTGAACATCTTTGTAATTTTTTAATCTCAAGTATGTTACAAGGATACGCACCTAAACAATAGAATAATGAGGATTTTTATAAATTATCAACCTAGAAAATACTTGAAATGCTCTCTAGTGAGCGGTCATTGTTTTTTCATTTTTTAATAATTTGAATAAGAACATTGGTAGCAATTAGCAGCTAGAATTTGTGATATGCGACAATGGGTCAAACGTACGAGTCTTTCGCTAAAAACGAGTGTTTTTTAAATCTTATTTTCCAATATAAGAGAACCATTTTTTTATGTAGCTCCTGGCCTTTCATATGGAGCCATTAATTGAACATTTTAAAACAATGAGGCAAAAAGAAACCAAACGAAAAGCAAGGAAAATGACAGAAAAGGTAATGGCACCAATATTAATGTTATTATTTTTTATGGGTAGATAATTTTTGAATTGTCATCTCTTTGGCGTAGGCTAGGTTCGACATCTCTTAACAAAATTAAAAAGTTATTATTCTATTTAAGTTATATTATTTTTAAAAAAATTATATCACCTCTCTACCACATCACTTCAAATTTAGCTCATATTTCATAAAAAATTAAAAAATATATTTATTTAAAACATTTCAAAATCACATCTTAAAAGAGAAGAGAGAGAAAGAGAAGACTAATGGTGTGTTTGGTGGGAGGATTTGGGGAGGGATTTGGAAAGGGAAAGGGAAAAGATGTGTGAAATTAGGTGAAATTTAGGCATGATTTATTCATATTTCACCTACCTTTTTCATTTCCCTTTCCAAATCCCTCCTCAAATCCCTCAACCAAACACAACATAAGAGTGTGCCTGAGCCAAGTAGTCGTTGTTGGTTGGCATCTACCCTACCGCACTGAATGGGGAAAGTAAAATTAGGTAGCTCCAATGGCCTAATCATCAATCTCCAATTCCTATTGTTGAGTCATATTTGGGTCCACCCCCAACCTACCATACTTATTATTATTGAGTCGAATTTTTTTTAATGACCTTATAGTGATTTTTCTTTAATGACCTTAAAAGTGTTTGAATATTATAGATAAATAAAACAAATTATAAATTTATTATAAAAAAATCATTCTAGATAATTTGAACTCTTTATTATTATCAATATTTTCTCCATCACTTTCTGTATTTTACATTCTACACATGAATATAAGACCATGGATTAACCTGATTTACTCAAATTTCAAAATTTTCTAGATGTGTTTGCATCGTATATGTACCTTAGGGACTGCTGATAAAATTGATGAGAAAATTCTTAATTATTATTTAAATAATTGTCATTGGCCTTAATAAACATGTATGCCTCTGTTTGGGAAGTGGGTTGGCTTTTTGACTTTTTGGCTTTTTTTGCTATTTTAGCCTGGGCTAAAAAGCTTGGTTTGGGAAGGACTTTTTGGCTTTTTGGCTTTTTTGACTTTTTTTGTGAGAGAAGAATGTAATGATTATAGGTTGGATGTGATGTTTTGTTTGTTATGGCTAAAATAGCCTATTTTATTTTTTGTGGCTAAAATAGCCAAAAAAGCCTGAAAAAGCCCTTGTCAAACACAGGCTATATAATAAAAAAAATATTTAAGATGGAGAATTTTTTTTATAATCCATGATATTAAGATTTAATAAGATAAATGACATATAATATTTGCATAGGGAAGTGATTGAGACTCCCTCCAATCATCACCCCCACCACCCCCCCACACACATGTGGCGAGTGGGGATTGGAGGAGAAGGAAAAAGAAAAAAAAAAAACTGACCAATCAGAGAAAGAGGGGGTCAAAGGGGGTGACTCATTGTGGGGGTCTAACTCATTTTCCTTTTTCATAATAACTAAGGTCCTTCCACATTTTTATAGTAAAAATTTGACTCAGAAAAATTTTACCTGACTCAGATAAATTTTAGTTTCGATACAAAGGAATTTCAATTTTCGCAGAGAAATTTTTATCAATGAACTTTAACTAATAAAAAATATATTTTAAGTCTCTCTTGCTACTTAATTTTCTCATAATATTAACGTAACTTTTATTAAATAATTTTATAATTTCAATTTTTTTAATTAACGTGACATAAAAGACGATTTGGGCATAAAAAAAAGAATCTTTTTTTAGACTTTTGAAGTGCATCGAGATGTGGAAAAGTTGATCCAACGGCTACAAGCTAGCTTCGCATAATTTTTAGAAAAAAAATATAGGTGGGATGACGCTCCTTTTCCTTTAGAAAACTAGAAAAAGAACAAAACAAAACAACAAAAGGCAGAGAAAGAAAAGAAAAGAAGAAGCTGGAGAGAGAAAGAGAGGGGCTGAATCGTCGCTTCGCCTGCTTTTATTAGCAGTGAGTGGTGGTGTGGTGTGTGGCTTTTCGAAAAATTTTCCATTTGAGATTAGGAAGGAGTGTATTACTTGTTCTCTACTTACCAAAATTTCATTTGCTGTGATAATCATTTAGCTCCAAGCTCTCCAATCTTCTAACAAGATTCTCTGTTAATGCTCTTCGATCTCATCTCAGATTCGACTACAATAATAATAATAATGTATATAAACAACCCAAAGGTTTGTTTACTCATCCTCAATTTCACACCCTCTCGATCGATCGATCGATGTGTCTTCATGCATATACATACATGTAACAGACTAGTAACTTTGCTATGTGATCTTGCTTTGATGCTATGGAATATGGATCTGCCATTTCCAATTTCAGTGCTATCCTTTTTTTTTAGGGCAACTCGATTTTCTCCTGGTGTACTTGATTGCTAATACATTTTGTGCTTTAGATTTGTTTGGCTTTTGAGAATATATGTTTGAACTTGAAGATTTCGTTTTCCTTTTTTAAGTTTCAATAAATAAATTGGATCTTTGGATATTTCATTGTTTTGGATCCATACACCTGGTGTGTCTCCCAGGGTGTGATATGAAACCTCTCTTTCCTTTTTCTTTTTTTTCTTTTTTTATGTTTTAATAATTTTCCGTAGAATGATTTACAAGGAAAAATGCTTATTCTTTAATTTCATTCTGAATCTGTGTTTTTCTCAGCAAACAAGCAGACAACAACGTTTCTTTCATTTACTATTATACTTGCTCGTTTGTGGAATCCTATCCAACATACAATAATATTTCTATTCATTGCCCATAAATTATATACCTAACGGGTTGTCGTTTCCGAAAAGTGAATGTGTTTTGTTTTGTTTTGTTTTTCTCACTGTGGGAACTTTGAGCCTAAGTTTTTGAAATGTTTACTTTGTCGTAGGTGAATCTTGACTGAACTGGGTTAGGGACAATGATGGATGCAAATTGCAATATAATAATGCTTTGATTGTTATCTTTGCAAAAGAATTAGACAGTATGATCTCTGAAAGGTTAATGGGAGAAGCGTCTCTTTGTAGTGATTTAGAGGCTTTGAGTTTGTCCCAACGTCTCATCAGAAGTGTCAGCCAGAAATTGAAAAGGAAGAGCCATGGAGGTGAAGGGGATGAAGAGGAAAATGTGAAAGGGGTTTCCTTTAGATGTCTTACTTTGTATAGTAGGGGTGGAGGTTGCAAAGTAGGCGCTGACACAGGTGAAGAGTTTGGGGATCCAGGTAGTAGAAGGCGGTCAAGTGCCAGTGAAGAAGGGAAGGGGTATGCTGCAATATGTGGAACTGAGGAGACCACTGTGGATTGCTTCTCTTACGCAGTGAAGGAGAAGTTTTGGAAGAGGAATAACAAGAAGGTACTAGAACTTGAGGAATTACCGCAGAACAGTAGAATGAATGTGTTTCTTCCGGATGACATTCTGGAAATGTGCTTGGTGAGACTCCCACTGACCAGTATCATGAATGCCCGCCTTGTGTGCAGAAAATGGAGAACTCTTACTACAACTCCGCGGTTCATGCAGATTAGACGGGAAGGCTTATATCAGAGTCCATGGTTGTTTGTGTTTGGTGTTGTTAAAGATGGTTATTGCTCTGGGGAGATACATGCACTGGATGTCTCTCTTAACCAATGGCATCAATTAGATGCTGAAGTTCTCAAAGGAAGATTCTTGTTTTCTGTTGCCAGCTTTCAGGATGATATTTACATTGTTGGAGGTTGTTCTAGCTTGACCAACTATGGAAAGGTGGATAGGAGCTCATTTAAGACACACAAAGGAGTGCTTGTTTTTAGCCCGTTAACTAAATCGTGGCGTAAAGTTGCATCCATGAAGTATGCAAGGTCGACAACGGTTTTAGGAATCTGTGAGATCAGTTCAGATTGTTCGATTATCCGAAACCAGCAAAATCGTCAAGAGAGACATTTCCCCAGGTCAAGGGTTGGCGGGGTATCTGATGTTTATGAGGATCCCCACAGGCTTTCAGTGAGGCGTCACTTCAGAAATTCTATTGATGAGAATGATGTTTCATTGTTGCCCAATATAAAACCATACAAGTTTGTCAGACAAAAAAGTGACCATTCAAACACCAAAGGTTGTAAAAGGTTTATACTGATCGCGGTAGGAGGGCTGGGATCCTGGGATGAACCTTTGGATTCTGGGGAAATTTATGATTCTGTATCAAATAAATGGATGGAGATTCAGAGGCTGCCTGTAGATTTTGGTATTGTTTGTTCAGGGGTTGTTTGTAATGGGATGTTTTACGTCTATTCTGAAACTGACAAGCTTGCCGGGTATGACATAGAGAGGGGCTATTGGGTTGGAATTCAAACCTGTCCATCCCCTCCCCGTGTACATGAGTACTACCCAAAACTCATATCTTGTAATGGCCGACTTTTCATGCTCTCTGTCTCCTGGTGTGAAGGGGATGGTCAAATAGGTAGAAGAAATAAAGCTGTTAGAAAGCTCTGGGAGCTAGATCTCATGTATGTTAATTGGACAGAGGTTTCAACTCATCCTGATGCCCCAATGGACTGGAATGCTGCATTTGTTGCTGATAGAAATCTGATATTTGGGGTCGAAATGTTCAAGATATTTGGACAGGTCTTAGACTTCTTGACTATGTGCGACGTGTCTGATACAGGAATGAACTGGAGCCATATATCAAGGAATCATGTGGCTCATGAACTGGATGCTTCTTCCTGCATGACAAAATCAATGGCAGTTTTACATCTCTGATGTCCTTGGCAAACTCTTTAGCTTTCATGTAATTTGTTTTTGTTCTTATTTGCTTATGCTTCTTTAGCTTTCATGTAATTTGTTCATCACAAATTGAAAGAAATTGATCATTTATTTATTAGAGGCACTGTCTTTGGTATGCTTGTTTGTTGAGTGTCCTAGAAGAAAACATTAGTACATCACTGCTCAAAGTGGGTGGGCAGGTTATCATGTTATTTTAAAACCCTGGTTTCTGCAACATTTCATTATTCAGTTATTTACAAATATAATATTTTGCTTGGCTCATTGTGCCTGTAAAACTTTTCAAAACCAAAGCTGATTGTACATTGTGGAAAACGGGCTAAACTCAAAATTTCAGTTAATTTTGAACGGTTGGTTCAATTGCTTCAATTTTTCTAAAACCCTAAGAAAGTGCTATTCTACTACATTCTGTACACCCAACTGGAATGAAGATTTGCCAGTTCACTATTTGTAGAACTATTTCATGATGTGAAACTCCTATTTATTTTATTTTATTTTATTTTTGAACTATGAAGTGAAACTCCTATGAAAAACAACATTTGTAGGTACTGATAGGGAAAACCAATGCACAATTCATAACGAATCTTTTATTGAAAATATGGTAAAAAAATGTACAAAAACACTGTTGTGTCCCCACTCCAAATCCAATATATGCAGCTCTTGTTTTTTTTATAAAAAAAAATACTACTCAAACAACAATGATGAACAAATGAACAGTTTATAAGACAAGTCAGACAAACCATAAGACAGGTAATAACATTATCCACCTTCTCGTGATGCTTCTCAAACCAAAATTTTAGATGCAGCTCAAAATAAGGGGGAAATTATCAATAAATGCAATGTCCCCACTTCACCGACAGACATTTGCGAGCAAAGCAAATCTATATTTTCATGGCGCAAAGACACCGGAGAAGTTGGGTATCTTGTCAACATGCTTCAGTGCATGCTCAGCAATCTGTCGTGTTCGATAATCGCCATGCTGGAAAGCGTCAACAAGTGCTGTGCCCACATTTTGATCACCAGAAACTTGGTAGGCTATATCTTCAGAGCGCAAAAGTCTTTCGACTGCCCAAACTGCCCTCCTCCGGATATTGTCTGTCCGTTTCTCTTTCAATATATCCAATATCGGCTTGATTCCTTCCTCCTCGCACAATACCTTCACCCCTTGTTCAATATCAACCCCATCATCCAACAAAGTAGACAATGCCGCGAGTGACGCCTCAACCACCTTCTCATTTGTGTGGTCTAGAAGGGCCACCAATCTCTCCACAGCTTGGCCCTCCAAGAGGCAAAAAGTTTCTTTTAGCGAACAAGTCCCACGGTGGATCCTACATAATCCGGTTATGACAGGAGGCTTGCTTAAACATGGAAAGATAGAGACACAAAAACCAGGTTCTGGCAACTCGGGCAGTCTGGTCAAATTCTTAGATTCTTGGGATAGGTTTTCCAGGGCTATGGCAGAAATCATCTGTACATTGTCATGTCCATTGGTCTGAAGCAGTTCAGTGAACAGTGCAGCGAGAGTGTGCTCGCGACAGAGTGCAATTGCATCGGGGTCATCAGCCAACACAAAAGTAACCCTTGAGAGAACTCGAACAAGCCCTTCCAGATATGGTGTGACAAAACGAATACCTCTAGTCCCACCTTGCCTAATCTTGATTATTCTGGAAATGACCAACTGAAAAGCACCGTCATCTAGCATCTGCCTCGTGAGGCCCACGTCCCTCTCCGGAAGATCGGCTAAAAGGCCAACTGCAGCAGCCTGCTCTTCAGTGATACCAATGTTTTCTGATATGACTTTGATTAGGGTACCAAGCTGGCCTGCTGGCCCACGTAAAGCATCGGTTAGTTCATGACCCATGTACGGAGAGAGGTTCTGGAGAAGCTTTATGGAAGCCACACGCAAATCGTTCTGCGGAGCCTCGATGAACTGAACCAAACTGATGGTAGCACCAGAGCTTTTAATGGCAGCAACAACGCTGACGACAGTACTACGAGAACTTGTCAGACCAACAAGAACGTTGAGAAGCTTGCATTCTATTGCTGGGCCAGTGTTGCTAATAAGATGGAGCAAGTTATGAACCGTGTCTTCTGATACTAAAGTCTGGCGGTCAGGTCCAACAGGGATGGAATCAAAATCATAACCTGAGGTCACCACATTGGCAAGAATTGTCGCAGCAACTTCTTTCAGCCGCATGGGAAGCTGGTTCGGGCCAACAATGAATAGATCCTTGACAAGAGGAGGAAGAATACCTGCCTCAATCAAAACCTTGGCACTTGCTTCATAAGATGAGATCTGATTCAGTGCTTTTAGAGCAGCTTCTCTGCACTCAATGTTACCACTTCTCATGATATCGATTAGTGATGAGCCAACAGTTGTGGCCACAAAGACCTTCACATCGTTGTTTAGAGTCAACTCACCAAGGTATGCAGCCATGGATAACTTAGTTTCTGGTGGGCCTGCAACAACCCATTTTCGCAATAAGACAAAATTAACAAAAAGAACATGTCATTCCTTTATGAGATAGAAGGAAATAAATGAGTGAAAATATAAATAGACATTCTATATGTCCAATCCAAAAAACTATAGCCTGCAACTAGTATATCCACACCCCACCCCCAAGAAGAAGAAACCGCCACCACCTTTGTCATTCCTTTATGAGATAGAAGGAAATAAATGAGTGAAAATATAAATACACATTCTATTTATCCAATCCAAAAAACTATAGCCTGCAACTAATATATCCACACCCCACCCCCAAGAAGAAGAACAAGAAGAAACCACCATCACCCTGCCCCTTTCCGTGTCTAAGGAACAAATGGAGTTTTAAGTAGAGTTGTTAATGGTAATAAATAAATGAGTAATTATTGGGTGAAAAAGGAGGAAAGAAACAAATTGGTGACCATACAAATTATTAAAAAAATTATACTAAGACTTCAGGAACCCATTCAGAACTTCTTACTCAGAACCTTGAACAAATTGCATTTATTTGCTCATAAAAGCCATATGTAGATTATTGAACTGAAGATTGAATTATTGAAAGTCTCACGCAGATTCATTTACAAAAGTATTATTGCCATATTTAGTCTCCGTCTTTAATTTTGTTGCTCAAAATTTCAAATTCAAAGAAAAGAGTAATCACCTATATTTATTTAATTGCTATTTTCATGTTCTTTCAAGGGACAATTACATAAAAATGATATCAATAATTCCCAAGTGATGAAAGGACAACCAATTTATGCATTACTTTGCATCACTTCGCAAATATTTTGTGTTGATACCATCTTTATGCAACTGTCCCTTCTTTCAATTAGAAAGTTGACTAAAGAGGTGTGCATAAGCATAATTTTTGCACTACATTGTCATCTTTACTACAATATGCAAATTACGGCTCTACGGTATGTTTGCGGTGAAAAGCATTTTACTTAAGTGCACAGAGAACATCTTTTTGAATACACCAAATTGTTGTCATATTAAAGGCTTTATGTTTAATTTATCCTCTTTTATTCTCTACTTGTCCATGGCATGCTCTATCAGAAATAATAGTGTCTAGCTCTATAATTATGCTCTGAAGTAAATGCAAAGGAGCAGGGAGGAAAAAGGGCTTCATAGAAGAAGTGCTTTGTTTTGGAAAAGAAAAAGTACAAACAATTATGATCACAGCTTCTCCAACCATCAAGTCTAAAGCCTGTCATTTTCATGTTAAAGAAATCAAATGAGATATAAATGACCTTAGCATTTATTTATTTCTGATTGTCTATTCCTTACTTGCCAAACAACTGATGCATGACAAGTAGGGACAGCGCCGGCTTTTGAAAATAGAGGTTATTTGATGGCCTAAACAATGAGTAATTTAGGATTTCAAGAGTTAAATTGAAGGCTAATAGGTAAGGAAAGGGATTTGGGTTTATTTGGGGGTGATTAGATGGAGTTTTGTGGTTGACAAGTGCACTTTTATAAGTCTTTGAATAGTAATCTGATAATAGTAAATTGAAACAGAAAAGAACAAGAAAGAAGAAGATAGGCCTAGGCATCACACCTAGAGTTTGATTGCATCACACAATCTACAAAGAAGCTTCAAAGCTCTCTATTTTTATAAAATATCAACTCTCTTAAAATATAAGCATTACATGGTTTATATAGAACTATGAGACTTCCTAAATCAACTTTAAAAGAATTTAAAAATTAAAAATAAAAAAACTACTAAAATATCTTTGACTTCTAAAACTAATTTAAGACTAAGAAACATAAATAACAACTAATTAAATAACTTGACCTATAAGACAATCCATGGGCGACCCACAAAACCCATACTCATATATTCTGCAAATTACCAAAATACCCCTAAGCTTAAAATCCTAGAAAACATAAATATAATTATAAAATAAGACTAATAATACTAGAAACATGATTATAGAAAATTTCTTTCAGTTTTTCCATGGAATCATGTCTATCTAAATATCATCGCGTCTTTAAATTTAGCCTTCCTTGAGCTTCTTATATTCTGCATCAACAACTCAACCCAAGAAAGCCTCAAGTCCATGTCCATCCCATTATTCATTCAACCTAGTCAATTTTGTAGAGATGCGCAGCAGACTATCATTTAACATAGAAAATTGCAATGTCTGATCAAAACAAACAAAAAAGAAACATATGTTCTGCCTTCCACAACTACAATATTTGATGACCCAAAGAAAATAATAATAATTAAAGCACCATTTGTCTGCAAACAAAAAGAGCATAAAACATTGGTGATCTTGGAGATACCTTCAAGGAGTAGTGTCAGAAGAGGTTGCAATCTACCATTTTCAGCCATCTGTCTTACATTATTCTCACACTTTGCCAAATTCTCCAGAGTTTTATCAGCCTTCTCAACGGTCAAAAGATTTTCTGAGTTGCTGCTAGTCATTCCAACCAATATAAGAATTGCTCCATTAACTGAACCAATCTTTTCACACAAAGTTTCAGACTTGGAGAGCTCAAATAGCAAAGAAACAGCTTCCTCCCTCTCTTTGGATTGCTCATGAGACAAGAACTTAACTATTGTTCGTACAGTGTCCCCTTCAGCCATTATTTCCTACAAAATAAATAAAGAACGAACTATAAATAAGAGGAATTAATTCCATCCATGCCCAGGTTGTTGAAAAATCTGAACAATGAACCAGAAAAAAATTGACAAACCATATTATCAGAGTCTTCCTCGGCCACAATTTGAAGAGTTTCTAAAGCTTTACAGCGAACTCTACGACTGCTGCTCTTCAACATGTCAACAATCATAGGAATCAGCTCTGCATTACGAATAATATGCTTATTTGACTGGCTTTTTTGGCAGAGGTACTGGACAAACTTCAAAGCCTGCAGAATATCACTCTCTGCACTGCCGAGAGATAATGACCTACGAGCCATATCCAATTGAGCAGCTTCATTTCTGGCGTGCCACTGTTCAATGGTGTTTCGCAGAGCCATACTTGGGTTCAATTCTGTACTTCTTAATTCTTGTAGCGTCAATGGACAAATCAGCCTTCTTCCGCTCTCCCTGCATTCTTTGAACCACTTTTCAATTGCTTCTCGATCAAAAGTTTGTCCATTTTCCAAGGAAACAGGATCAGACATAATTTGTTTTGTCAAAGGGCATATAAATGCATCATATATGGGCTCTATGTGTAGTTTCTCAAAGTGAGAGCTCTCTTCTGACGGGCTACCAATGTCATAACTTCCATCCCAGCTTCCAGCCATCAGATATTAAGTACCTGTCAAAGAATAATATTACATCACAGATATTAAAATTCTTCGGAATTGCTCTAAATCCATTTCCACAACAACCAAAAACTGCATAAACATAAGGTATGTAGAAAAAGGTGCATGCGGGAGGGTCATGGTAATACAGAAAGTAAGTAACCCTGCATGAGCAAAAGTATAGAGGAGGATAACTATAAGATATGAACATTCCTTTTGTTTGGGAAGAGAATATTTTTTTCAGATTTTATGCCATTTGGTACTACAAAAAACTAAAGTCAATGAATTTCCATGGTCAACAAAACAACTTATTTGGGCTAAAAATGTTTTTCACTTTTGAAAGGTGAAAATGTTTTTCAAACTAACACCACCACACTTCGCCTCCACCCCCACTGCCACCACCACCACCACCACCACCGCCACTAATACAACTACTAAGGAGGCAACCAAATAATAGAAAAACATTTTCTACTAAAAACATCTTTTTTTTAAATCTATTGAAAAATGTTTTCAGCCAAAGCAAACAAAGCCACTGGCTCAAAATTCCATTTGCAAACCAAGTTAGAGTCAACTGTTAATTCAGAGTTGGCCAGCTAAAGTTAAACAACAGACTCTCCCTCCTTCACTCTCATGCTTTCCATTTATCTTCACAAGATCAAACTCTCCAGTTAGTTAATAGGAATGTTACAACATCGCAAGACAACGATAATCACGAGCACATAGGACCTTGATATCCATCTAAATTACCCACCATTAATTCAACCATGTCAAGAAAACCCCGCCATCAATTGCTGCCGCCAGCACCTCTTCACGAAAAATTCACACATGATCTTAATCATGATGAAACAAACCATGCCAACGCCACTAAATACTACCCATCAAGCAATTGTTGAGAATATGAATAATTTGGAATCATGTGCTTTAGGTAAAGAGATTGAAATTCAACTATAATTAGTCAATAAAATCAGTATCAAAGCAACTCACAAGCTTAGGAAGAACACACACACATATATGGGTTCAAAGAAAAAGAGAAACCAGGTGAAAAACCATACCTTTTGAGTAAATTCTTCAAACTTGAGGGACTTACAGGGAAAACCCAATTTTCAGTTGAAGATGCGCCATCGTCTGGCACCTGATAGCTCTAAAGTAATAAACAGACGAGGAGCAAGTTTGATGTATTCTAAAAATTAGGGTTTTGTTTCTGTTTCTTTACTTTTCTTGGGACAGGATGGGCATTAGAGAAAGCTATTTGTATTTGTATTCAGTTCAAGAAAATAACAGGAACATAAAATATAAATAAATAATAATAATTTTAAAGGTGGAGACTTCTCTTATGTTATGGGAGGGAGCTAGCCAGCCACCCTCTCTCTCTCTCTCTCTCTCTCTTTCTCTCTCTCTCACACACACACACACACACACACAAGTTTCCACAGTCCCCACCACCCACCAACCATACTTCAAAAACCAGGTTAGCTGTTTTCTCAGATATTAGTATTAGGCCTCCTTCCCTTCTTTCACTAGCCTTTGCAAGTCAATTTTATTTCAAAGTCAAGTTCGTTTCATTATTATTATTAACTTTCCACTTTATTTCCCTTCCCTCTTTTCCACTGAATCTTTGAAGAAAAAAAAAAAAACAAAACAAAACAAAAAAAATCACTTTACATTTAAATAAAAAAGTGAGTAAAAAATATTTGATTTGAACTTTTCTAATAGGTAAACTCAAATTTAACTATCAATTTAAGTAAAAGCTTCACTAATAGCATAATGATAAATGTATTTTTTTTGTTATTGTCAAACAGGGGTGGAGCCTATTAAACAATTGATTTTTTATTTGTTATCTGATTATGCTAAATCCAATTAGAAAAAAAAATTATTTTGGTTATATATTTTTTTCCCCATGAAACCAAATAGTTCCCAAGAAATGAAAAGGGCTACTTATTTTAACAAAATTCATCTTACACGAAAAAAAAAAAAAAACAGATGACAAGATTGTCAAATAAATTTTATTTATTTAGTTATTATAAAAATAAAAAATATATAAATATATAAAATAATATAACTTATTTTATATAAGATAATATAACTTTTACTTATTTGTTGACTCCTTTCACTTATTTTAACTTCCACTTATTTAAAAAAATAGCTATACCTTAGTGAATTAACTATATTAATAATATTATTATTGTGACTATTAATTTTACTTGGTAAATTATATATGAAAAATTATTAGATGGTCCATAAACACCACATGTACATATTCCATCAATTATTAACCCATTTTGAGACTTGGGATTTATAGTGAAAAAGTTAAAAAATGAGTATACGTTGTTACGTCATTTTCTTTACTCTTTACATATTTTTTTTATAAAAAAATTAAAAATACTAAAATAGTGAAATTTTAGACAAGACTTAAATATTATTTTTTTTGTGTCCCAATGTAAAGTCTCGAGTCCTATCCCTTCACCAATCACATCATTCTTGAGAAATAACCAAAAGAGAAATTACATTTCAGTTAATTTTTTTTTTTAAAATATGATTTTAATTATTAATACTTATAAAATTTATCATTTATTTATATATTGTAATTATTTTTTTCCAAAAATAACTGATTTGATATTTCCCCTTAATAACCTAACCAGCGCGTAGCACCAAATAACTTCTCTTCTGTGGGTGAAAGCCGACAATTTTTATTGAAACTTCAACCACAAATGTTTCCGAAATTTCAATGCACGCCGCAGTACTTTGCTTGTATCTAAGGAAATCTCTAATGGTCCATTAATATTTTTTTTTTTCTTTTGATATAGTATTTAAATAGAGAATTTTAAATATTCATGAGAATATTGATCGATCGGGCAGATAATCGGATAGATATCGGTGTAAGTTTTTTTATTTTTTGTTTTAAGGTGGTCGATCGGACAATCGATCTACTAAGTGTAATTTTTTTATAAATGTTTACCTTGAGGTAGTCAATCAGGAAGACATTCCGAGATATTCGAGGAACATTTGGCAACGATAATGAATCGTATCCTCTGAAAGAAGTAAAATTGTCAATTTGATACCTATTTAATATAATTATTATAAAAAAAAATGACTTATTTTTTTTTTTTATCAAATTTAAATTTAATAAAAAATTTAAGATAGTCTAACCGAAAACTTATCAATTTCCAAAATGAGCATAAAGCCCCTCGACAGGCCGGAAGGGTTAGGGTTTAGAAGTAGGTTATCAGAAAACCTGATTTTCAATGGCTGAAGAAGAGGGAACACGCAATATTGATAATGAAAGATACTCAACCCAACAACAACAACAGCAACAAGAAGAAGAAGAAGAAGAAGAAGAAGGAGGAGGAGAAAGAGAAGGGGATCAGAAAGTTGTGAAGTTTCTTGATTCGGTGGATAGCTATCTGACCCTAGTCGACTCTTTATCTTCAACACTTCGCCAGGTAAAAACCCTAAAAAGCTAATTTTAGAACCCTATTTTACCATCATTATTGCCATGAAATCTTCTTTTTTATGGGCACTGTTTTGGATTTCAATTTAGTCAGCGTTTGATTCCTTCAATCACATCTTGACCACACCGTTCATTCTTTTATATATTTTTGATCTACTTTACATTATGTTTTAATTCATGTCTATATTTGATTCAGAGAATAGGCTTGTTTTTTAGTTCATCTTTAATTAGACGAGGGCAACCTGATTAATTAATTTTCAATTTGGATAATTTTAGGGAAAATATCAGGTAAGTCTCACTTTTTTCCCACTAATTTTCTCATAAAATTTCATTGGGTCCTATTAACACTATCTTGAGTGGGTTAATTCTGTGTTAACAGGACTCATTAATTTTCCAATTGAATCAAATTTTATTTTGATTCCCGTTTTTATTCTTCTTCATCTTCTGTTTTCAATAAGTCCTGTTTTTCTTTCTAATCTTTTCGGCTTAAAATCTACTAGCATTTGCAATACTTATGTGTAGTCTGTTTTCATGACTAATAAGCTATTTTAAGCCTGTAGTTATTCAGGTAATGTACAGAAGATCCTAGTCCACGGTGATCATTATGTGTTGCTTATCTTGGAGGGTAGTTTAGTCATTGTCTTGTGGGGATACTCTCTTATTAACTGATAATTTGAACTGTGTTATTGCATTATGGTGATAGTTTTGCATTTGGATTGTTCAAGATTGATTCTATGTTTCTTAACAAAGACAAAAATTTCACTACTTGACACGATTGTTATGCTTCCATTTTAATTTTTGGAACAAGTGAAGAAATCACCCTGTTGTTCTTTTGGTGCTCATTTTTCTCTGAGAGATGTGGCAACATAGAAAACTAGGACTTTTTTATTGTTCTAAACTTTCCTACTTTGCAGGGATGGTTGGAATTAGCTGGTGCTCGACATTCCATGGGTGCTTCACGAATCAGTAGTGCCTTGTTTGACCTCAAAAGCCACTGTGCTGCTACAACATTGCAAATTACAGAGGATGGTGGTAAGCCTTCTTAACTGAATCAGTTTGATGATAAGTGAAGATTTTCAATTGTGGGGTTAGTCTTACCACTCGTGCTTATGGTATGATAACATATGTATTATGGCATTGCACCTTTGTAAGGGGCATTCAGAAATTGAATCATAAAAAAAATATTTTACATTAGCTTTGGTAATTTGAGCCAGTACAAGTAAAGCACTTTGACACTTGCACAAACACGCGTATGCTCTTATGTTCAGAGTCTTTAAGACCTGTTTAGTTGTGCATATGTTAGTCATTATCGATGTTAATTAGTTTTTCTTATATATTTTAGTTGACTCCAGGATGAAGCAACCTAATTTTACTTTGTGCAAGTGGGTCTCCCCTGATAATCAGAATTGCTCATCCGACAAAGCAAAATTTGATGAGGATGAGTCTTTACAAAGGACATCAACTAAACCGCAGCTTCGGTATAGGGGAACATCTGGTATATAAAATCACCTTTCAGTGAATCTTTCTATACTTTTTTTGTACGTTGTTGCAGAATGTCTTTAAAGAATTTACTGATTAGTGATTTTGTTTTCCTTTTTGGGTTAGTTTTGGAGTTTAATGTATGTTTTCTCTTCTATTGCTTCTTACTTTCTCGCATCTGTTTGTGCAAAGAAATTCAGGAGAAAAGACCAGAAAGTAATGGGTCTGCACTCATGGTTGACTACCAAGTAAGCATGCCACCACTGACCTTGCTCCATATTTTCATCTTGTTTAATGAGTCAAATTCTGATAACAAGTCATTTCTATTTTAGCTGTCATTGGGTGGGTGCTGGCACCATTGTACTAGAACTCTTATCAGTCCTTTTTTTTTGAGTTCAGCCATGCAAAAGTCTTGTATTCGTAGAAGTTGCATTGCTATTTTTATAAAACTGAAAAGGGGCTGTTGGGTGAGACTGAAAATTTTAGTTGCTGAATTATAGCACTGAACCTTTTAAGTTACTGACGTAAAAGTTGAAGTTAACTAGGCTTTTATGTCTAGAAGTTTTGTTGTTACATAGACAAAGCTATTACCACTTGGCTTGTTCATTTGTAAAGGAAAGCTTTAGACCTTTTAAGTGAAAATTATTTGTTACGCAACTTTTTGTGTGTTATCAAATGCACTCAATGGAAAAATCACAGAAGTTTTCAGTGCTTAATTTGGGTATCAAACAGAGGTTTAACCCTTTGCACTAAAAAAAAAAAAAAAAAAAAAAAATGTAAATCTGACGCAAAAAAAAAAAAAATTTGTACCATAAAAATAAACCCTTTTACATAAAAAAAAAAAAAAAAAAAAAAGGCAGAGGTTTAACCCAAATAAGGAAAAAGGTAGAGTTTCAGGATATAAGTTTAAACCCAGTTTTTTATTTATATAATTTTTATTTATTTTTTATTTTTTATTTTATTGTTGTAGCTGTGTTTGAAAGGTGAAATGTGTGTATGGATACATTTCACATTATCTTCTTTCTTCTTTTGTAGATTCAAAAGGAACGATCCAAATCACTGTCAATGTTTGGAACTTTGGTTTCTCCAAAACTTCGAGCTGGCCAACTTTCATTTGAGATGGGTAAATAATAAGCAAAGATGCTGACTCTTAACTCATTACTCCTCCCAATTGGACCCTCCAGACATATGTGCATGCACTGCATGAAAGGCTGGTGTTGACTGATTGTGTCGGTTTCATGCATGCAGCTCTGGATACACTAGTGGAAATAGCAAACATGCGATCATCAATTCTATCTGCTTATGATCAAGTGCGGAATGATATGGAGAGCACCAGAGGTTGACAACAACTTGGTTTTGTAATGAAATGGAAAGGTATAATTTTACACGTTACATAATTAAGCAATTGCCACTTTTTATTTTTATTTATTTTTTAATCTATAGATCTTCTGCACTTGTAGACGGCTGCCCACAATTGCTCGAGCTCATAATTTCGAATTGGAGTGCTTCTCAATTATGTTTGTGGTGTGTGGCCACCAAAGATTTTCCTCGTGTATTTTATCTAATTTATTACGAAGTTCTTGTTGCAGAATGTATTGGATTTTGCTTACTTTTCGTCTAGTGTATACAGTATTTGATAATTGTTGATCGGTTTGATTGTTCAAAGATTGGAATCAATGCCATCCATGTTTTGTAATTTGTATTGATTTCATTTCTTAGACGTTCTTACCAAATTAATAGAATCATTTAGGTTGTGTTTAAATCAATAGAACCATTAAAGAGAAGAACCAATCTGAATTTGTGGTTTGAAGCTTGAAGGTAAGACCAGTACGACTATTTGGATTAAGGATTTGTGGAGGAATTTGCAAATATAAAGGAAATACGGGAAAAAGTGAATTAAATAGAAGTTAAGGGCTTGTTTGGTTTGTTTTTGGGAGAGTTGTTTTTGAATATTTTTTTCAAAATTTTGTTTGGTTTTGTGGTTTTTTTCAAACAAATTTCAAAATTACTTCTTCCTTACAAATCAATTAATCATTTTTTCTCTCACACACATCTATTTAATTATAAAAAAATATCAAGTCATCTCTAATTTCTAAACTCCAAAATTATTTTTAAAATATACAATCAAACAAATCAAAAAAAATTATAAACTTTTTCACCATTTTTTTTTTTTTAAATAGCTCACTCAAAAGCAAACAAAACATATCCTAAAATTTTGTAATATTTTGTTTCTTTTTCTTCTTTTTTTCAAGGCCTATTTTTTGAAGTGGGTTAATAGTCACTTTTCAACTTTTAACTAGGAATGGCAATTTGAACTCAGTTCGACGGGGACCCGATCCCCCGACCCCGAATTAAGCTATTTTTTCCCGAAAAATACCCCTAACGGGCTACAGATGGTATTCAAAAATAAATCACCGATGATATTCAGTCAGGGACGGGGATACATTTCCCAACCTCGGACTCGGCCCTACCTCATTTAGCCCCCTGATCCTGTTTATATATATATATATCTGTGTGTTGTGTGTGTAGGGTTTGGTTGACTTGACACACAAACATAACATATGGTCTCCTCCTCTCTCTCACACACACAATCGCAGCTCCTTCATTGTCGACTCCTTCTCTTTTTATCACTAGCATCACTTCTCCCTCGCGGTGTCACGGCGGCAGCTCCTCCTCTCTATCTCTCTCTCACACTGGTGGCGACTCCTCATCTCCCTCTCACGGTATCTCCGTCTCGCTCTCTCTCACAGATCTCCTTCTCTCTCTCTATCTCTCTTTCTTATTTTTTGCTTTTGTTCTTCAGATTTGGAAAATGATGAACATAACATATGGTCTCCTCCTCTCTCTCTCCCTCACACACAATCGTAGCTCCCTCATTGTCGACTCCTTCTCTTTTTATCACCAGCATCACTTCTCCCTCACGGTGTCACGGCGGCAGCTCCTCCTCTCTATCTCTCTCTCACACTGGTGGCGACTCCTCATCTCCCTCTCACGGTATCTCCGTCTCGCTCTCTCTCACAGATCTCCTTCTCTCTCTTTATCTCTCTTTCTTGTTTTTTGCTTTTGTTCTTCAGATTTGGAAAATGATGAAGATGAAGATTTGTTGGTGATGAAAATGATGAAGAAGTTTTTTGATTTGTTAGATCTGTTAGAGCTCAGATCTGTTAGATTTGTTAGATCTATTGATGTTGTTGTTGACGAATTCGTTTTCTGGAGATTTTTTTTTGGCCAGGGGTTTTCGGGGTCAAGGAAACTCGATCCCCGTTAGAGGGCGGGGGTAGGGGCGGTAGTGGGTTTCCCGTCGGGGATCGGGGCCGAGGAAGGGGGAATTTCCACCATCAAGGATCAGGGACGGGAAGGGTGATCCCTGGCCCCGTCCCGTCTCGTTGCCATTCCTACTTTTAACCTATTTTCCTCTCTCACAAAAAATTTTAAAAAAAAAAACCAAAAAATAGCTTTTAATCATTTTCTAAAAAAACACCCCACAATATATCCAAATACTAAGGGATACTTTTTCACAAATCATTTTTCACCTATTCATGTTCCATTTAGTACACATTATTTTTTTTCCCCCAATAAGTTGTATAAGTGATATAGTTATCAAAATATTCCTAATAATATTCACATTTACAGTGCGAATGTTCCGTGATATGAATGTCTACATCGTCAATGGAAATGTTAACATGTTAATGTGAATGTTCACACTATTAATGTGAGCATTTACACGTCAATGTGAATATTCACATTGTAAAATATGAATGTACATTACCAAGTTGCTGACTTTTCAAAAAATGTTTATAAGGGTAGAAATGTCTATAAAATATCTTAAATATGAGAATTATAATCTGGTAGATCAAATGTTCAAATAATAGGACTTATTAGAATACAAAAATATCTTATAAACTAATTGGGATACAAACGATTAGAAAAAAGATTTTCTAATAAATCTTCCATACTATAAATAGGATAAAAAGAACATTTTGTTGTTAGGAGAAAGAAATGTGAGAATATTATAGACAAGGTTGAAAAATGTCTTACCCTTTCAACCATTCTAGGCATTGAATTAAAATGTATGGCATGATATCAACAAATGCATAAATTATCAACGACGTGCTAATTTGATATGCAAGTATAAAACATGCAAGATTATAATAGTTTTGTTAAATTAATCAGTTATGCAAACCCTAGTGACAATGCTTAAAAAATACAGGAGATATGGGATGTTTTGAAAAGTTGATAAAAAGTTGACTTTTGATTTTTTACCAAGTTTTTTGACTTTTTTAGAGGTGATTTTGGAAGTTGGTAAAGAGTTAGCTTTTTTTATTTTTGGTTTAATATTTTTTAAAAGTGTCAAATCATTGCAAAATGACGAAAATACCCTTACCTTTTAATGAAAATTACGATTCTGCCCTTTAGTACGTCAACACTGTTTTGAATGTAACAGCCACCTTGCGTTCCAACAAATTTTAATTTTTTTTTATTAGTACTACAATTTCCAAATTTTACCAAATACTTTTTATTATTACAAATTTATTATTCTCTTAATTACAAATTTATTTTTTATATTATTACAAGTTTATTAGTAAATGTATTTTTTTTTTTTACAAATAATTACCAAATTATCCAAACAATTATTGCAAAAGACCAAAATACCCGTAGCAAATTTTTTAAAATTATTATGACAGTTTTGTTAATTATTTTTATTATTAATTGAATGGCATATTTATTTTCTTAATTTTTCCTAACAAATTGTGCTCTTACATTAATTAATTTCCACATTACAATTTGGTAAACGCCTTTCAGAACCTGCAACTTACCAATAAAACCGTACATTTTTTTTGACACTTTCAACAGTTTCACACATTCATTTCATTTGCCATCACCTCGTACAGACCGAACAGGATTTACAACCCAAGTTGACGCCGATGTCGCACTAATTCATTCCGTATTGATTTCCTCACTTCGTTCATATGTACGTCATCATCGCCCTCTGGTTCACCATCATCATTGTCACCAAGACCGCCAACATTTGGCATGTCATTGAATGTAAAATTCTCTGTATTCGCAACCTTGTTGCGTGGGTTTTTGGTATAATGCGTTTCACCTACCTTTTTACAAAAACTCAAAATATCCAAGTGTTAATTCCTTCATTGCGTACGACACACCTGTGTAGCATTTTCTCAACTTCCTTGCTCCTTCGTCAGAAGTGATTTGTAAGCAAACCCTAGAAACGGCACAAGAAGAAGTAGTCAATGTGAGGGTGGACCCGCTGGGAGACGATGATACGGAGGAGCTAGCAGCGCGATATAGGACGGAGACACGAATGGTGGAAGTGGGGGAACCGGTGGGAGAATCGCAGGCGTCGGCCCTGATATTGGCTCCAAAGCCACTAAGCCAGGTAGAGCCAGATCAGTGGCACACTAAGGCGGAAAAATCCACACTCACTGTGGCGGATTTGGAAGCTATCAGGGAACGATACCAGATTCCGGCGGAGGTGGAGTTATTGCTGCCAACATCAAGGGAAAGGCCGTCTAATGCTAGGCCAGGGGAGTTTTCCCTGTACGAGGAGGCGTTAAAAGGTGGGCTGAGGTTGCCACTGCCCCAAGTGGTGGTTGACGTGCTGAATCGCCTGGAGGTAGCGACGGGGCAATTGATGCCCAATGCATGGAAGATTCTGCTGGCCTGTGCGAGTGCGTGGCCCAAGGCGAATGGAGGGAAGGCCATGGCGGTAAACGAGTTCTTTTCGTGTTACAAGGCGTCGGAGCAGCAAGAAACGTGGGTCACCTTACAGGCGGTGATGGGGAGGGGATTGGTGGCGGGGCTGCCGACATCGATCAAGGGGTGGCGGCCACGGTGGTTCTACGTGTCTGCTAATGGGGGAGTGGGGGTGCGCACCATCTGGAAGGTGCCAACTAGGTCGATGGAGTCGAGACTGGGGGCAGTGGCGGAAGAGAGGGTGAAGAGAGTGAAGGAGTGGAGGGAGAGAGAGAAGGCCAAATGGGACGAGCTTGTTCAACTGTCCGCATTGTTTAAGTCGGGGCTAGGACCGCAGCCGAAGGGTGGGGACCTCGACCGAGCAGAATTGGAGGCGAGAAGAGAAGCTCAGGAGGTAGAGGATCAGGCCGTTCTGGCCAAGGCCACGAAGTTGAAGGAATCGCGAGGAGACCGACCGCCTCAACCGATCGCGCGGGAGAGGATCCGACCGCGCCCAAGGCCGTTGGGGGGAAAAGACTTAAGCAGTTTTGAGCCGCGGCCGCCCCCCGTCGACCCTGTAAAAGAACAGGCCAGAAAGGAGGGGAAGGCTCTGAAAAAGAAGAAGAAGAAGATGAGTGCCCCCGAGGAAGCCGCAGATGAGTCTGGGGCCAAGAGGGCTAAGGTGGCCCCAACTGAGGTGGAGGTCCCTGTGGCCAAGGATGCCCCAGAGGTGGTGGAGGTCATCCCAACAGTGGAGGTTGTGGAGATTGCTCCAACAGTGCAAGTAGAGGCTCGGCTGACTGAGACAGCACCGAGCGGAAGGGAGCAGGTCTAGAAGGGGCCTGCCCCCCAGGAAGGAGGGGTTCGTCTGGCTACGGCAATCTATCATGCGCGCGCGGTAGCTGGAAGGTTGGAAGGAGAAGAAGGCCCAGCCAGGGCGGGGGCAGACCGCTTGGTGAAGATTGTGGATGAGACAGCTCTGCGCGCGGCATCAGGATATAATGAGGCTGACCTGCTGAGGGGGTTATGCTCCGCCCAA